ATTTTTCGCATTTCCCAGTAAGACAATCTAAAAAACGAACTGTTGGTACATAGCTACTCCTTGTTCCTGTAACTAACTCCATCTTACCCTTTTTCAAATACAGATTCTTTTTTTCTAATATAAATAGCAAATACGGATAGTATGCCAACTGAATTTGAAACGTATAAAGTAATTTTGAAGCGTGGTTAAATGTAGTAGAACACCACACGTCCACACATCCCAGCTCCGAACACGAATAACTCGAATTTTGAAGTCGACCTCTGAAATTCTCCGAATGTATGCACATTCAGCTGCTTTGCAGTGAAGCAGAGCAGAATGCGACTAGGAGAGGGCAGGGAAAATGCAAATGCAGTTGGCTTCTTCAGCACGGTGGGTACAGAGAAGAAGGAACGGTTCAGCGAATTCTCCGTGGTTTTCACCTTGCGAGGAGGGTGTTGAGGAGGAGGCGGGCGAACGCGGACTTGCCGCTGTTGCCGGGGCCGCACACCACTACCACCGGCGGCGGCCAGGTGCACGAGTCGTACGCCACCGCCTCCGCCGCCTCCTCCCACTCCCGCTCCCGTTCCCTGCCCCTCGCCTCCTCCGACCCCTCGCCGCCGCCCATCTCGCCTCTCTCCATCTCGCTCGCTCTCTCTCTCTCTCCACAATTCACTCACACACTCGCACTCGACGCTCGTTGGATGCTCTGCGGTCTCCGACCGGGTATTTCATAAGCCAAGACGGTCACGCGTATCGCGACTTGGTGTCGAACGATTTTAGTTAGGGGGGTACGGCATGGGAAGAAGAAGAAGGCTGCTGGTACGTTGAGATTGGTAATGAAATGTGTCATGTTCTGTGGCCTTACAATGCTTTAAATTCGAGTTATGACAGGTTCACAGGTGTCATGTTAATGAATGAGATTGGTAATGACAGGTGTCATGTTCTTAGGAAGGTGATTAGTAAAATAAACTGAGTTTCCGTTAAACATCAGTGTTTATCTCTATCGGAAGGATGCCTAATTAAGAGTCTATCCTCTACAAATAAGCACTGATACTTAAGAAAAACCGGTTTATTTCTGTAAGCACCTTGCATTATACACAGACAATTTTTTTTTCTAAGTTATAGTTGCGTCTGATTTGGTGAGAAAAAAAAGATCGAGTCTTATATGATATAAAAATTCTGAATGTGATTGGTGACCGAGGTACGATGGTACGCGAGTGGCCATTAGGCATACAAGCGGAAGACATCCGCGAGCCGTGAACGTCCACAATATGGGAATTAAGCCTAACATGATTATCGAAGCAACAAAGGTTAGTGTGTTTCCTCATGGACATCGTCCACTTACATCCCTAATTGCCATCCATTAAATATTGGTGGAAATGGTAGACCGCAGATAAAATTCTCTATCACTTAATGGGGCCACCCAAATCTTCAGTTGTGATGGACACGATCTCATTCATTTTTGTCCCATTAAATATTGGTGAAAATGGTAGGTCGCGAATGAAATTCTCTATCACTTAATGGGGCCACCCAAATCTCCAGTTGTGATGGACACGATCTCATTCATTTTTGTCCCATGAAATATTGGTGGAAATGGTAGATCGCGGATCAAATTCTCTGTCATTTAATAAGGCCACCCAAATCTTCACTATAACTTAATGAGGCCACCCAAATCTCGTTGTGATGGATACGATCTTATTCATTTTTGTCCGATGAAATCTTGGTGGAAATGGTAGATCACGGATGAAATTCTCTATCAC